GGCTCTACATCTGTCCAAATTAAATCAATGGGCACTCCTGTCAGTGCTCTTAGACTTGTCACTGTAGAGGCTTTGACAACCTTTTTTCATGACTTTTGTCATCTCTGGGCTACCTTAATGGCCAATGCCCAAGGCTTCAAATGCAAGAAACTTCCCCTCTTGGTTCTGTGCTACACACCATTAAAACAAAAATTGTTATCTACAAACCAGCCTCTACTGTAAAGGCTCTCATAAACCCCGAGACTGTGATCGTCTGCACCCAGCTTCCCATTATGCCTTGGGTCATGGAAGTAGCACCTCACAAGTTTGGCACATCTACTGAGGCCTCCTTTATATAAAGTGGAAACTTCCTGGGCCCTCTGACATATTCCACTTGCAGGAGGAGTCTTTATAATTTTCTCAGTAAAAGATCATATCATAGACAGATATTCTTAGTTCTTTCTTTCTTATTTAAATGCCATTTATTTATTTGCATAATTGCTCTGACTGAGACTTCAATACTATGTTCAATAAAGTGGGCATCCTTGCCTGTTCCTGATCTTAGATGAAAAGCTTTCAGTTTTTTACCATTGAATATTGTTAGTTGTGGACTTCTCATATATGGCCTTTAGTATGTTGAGGTATCTTTTTTTGTTATACCTAATTTGTTGAGTCTATTTTTCATTAAAGGGTATTGAATTTTGTCAAATGATTTTCTGCATCTATTGAGATGATATGATTTTTATCTTTCTATTAATGTGGTGTAACATACTGCTATGTGTATGCTGAACCATCTTTGTATACCAGAGATAAATTCCATTTAGTTGTGTTGTATGATCCTTTTAATGTGCCTGTGAATTCAGTTTGCTAGTATTCTGTGGTTCATCAGGGTTACTGGACTGTAGTTTTCTTGCGATGCCTCAGGCTTGCTTTGGTATCAGGGTGACGCTGGCTTCATTAAATGAGATTGGCAGTGTTCTCTTCAGTTTTCTGTAAGAGTTTGAGAAGCTTAATGTTTAAATGTTTGGTAGAATTCACCTGTGAAGCCATCTGGTCCTGGGGCTTTTATTTGTTCTGAAGGTTTTGATTATGGATTCAATCTGTTTATTTTTTATTGGTCTCTTCAGGTTTTCTTGTTCTTCATAATTTAGTCTTGGTAGGTTGTACGTTTCTAGGAAATTATGTATTTCTTCTAGTTATCCAATTTGTTAGTGTACAACTGTTCATAATATAGTCCTCCCCCTTATCTGCAGTGGATATATTCCAAGATGCAGAGTAAATGCTTGAAACCGCACAGTACTGAACCCTTACGTACTATGTTTTATTCCCTATACATATATATCTGTGATAAAGTTCCTTTTTCTTAGAAAAGCTTCCCACTTTCTCTTACCCAAGTTCTGAATGCTGAGTCACGGTGGAGAAAAGTGACTTCAAGATTTCACAGATACTTCACCTACACTGGAGGTCTCTGCACAAGCACCTAAAGCAAGGGTGGGGAACCTTTTGTCTGCTAAGGGCCATTTGGATATTAATAACATTATATCCAAAGGGCCATACAAAATTATCAACTTAATAATTAGCCTGCTATATTTGGTCGAACATTTATTCAATTCACCCCTAATGTGATGGCTGGAGCTGCTTCTCTTTGGTGAGGCCTTGGCAGGGCCAGACCAAATACATTCCCCACCCCTGACCTAAAGAGACCTCAGCCAAAGGTCCTAAATAAGGAGACCTAGTAATAAAAGCATATGGGGTAGGAATACAATTATACATAAGAGCATAATAGTGACAGAGCTGCACTGTCTCTGGAGGCTTTAGGGATAATGCACTCCTTGCTTCTTCCAGCTCCTAGTGGCTGGCAGCATTTTTGACTTGACTGCAGCACTCCAAAATCTGTGTTCTACCACTTTAAGTTATAAAATCATTATTTTCATTTAGGTTACTCTACCTGCTTACTTTATAACTAATTGTTTTAAGCATTTTCTTTACCTACATTGAGCACTACATTGGATGGTGTTATAATTTTGCTTCATTCATCAAATTTGACCTAAGAAACCCATGAGAACATTCTATTATACTTATGATTACTTTAACCCATTTTCATGTTCTTTCCTTTGTCAAGTTCTAAGGCTTCTGTTATAATTTCTTTTTTATTTAGAAAACTCTCATTAGTGATTTCTGAAGGCTAGGTTTGCAAGTAACAAATTCTCTCTCTTTTCCTTTTCCTTAGGCTGTCTTTATTTCCTATTCATTCCTGGGGGATAGTAATGCTGGATATAAAATTCACTCCCCTATAATAGATTGCTTTTCTCTGGCTGCTTTCTATTCTTTTCATTGTCTTTAGTTTTCAGATGTTTAATTATGATGTATGTTGGCATGAATTTCTTTCAGTTTATTCCATGTGGGGTTTACTCAACATCTTGAGACTGTAAGTCTCTGTTTTTCACCAAATTTGATAAATTTTCAATCATTATTTCTTTGAATACCTTTTCAGGCCCACAGTTTTCTACTTGCCGTTTGAGATTCCATTGATATGCATGTTAGATATATTGTTATTGTCCTGCAGGTCTTTGAGATTCTATTCATTTTTTCAATATATATTATCTTTATTTAAAATGTATAAATCTATTGATCTGTCCTCAGTTTCACTTATTCTATCCTCTTACCTTCATTTTTTTTAAGTACACTTCATTTTACTACATTTTTAAATTTGTTATTGTGTTTTTCAGGACACTAATTTCCATTTGGTTCTTTTTTTTGTAACTTCTATTTCTTTTCTGAGATTTTTATTTTTCCATTTGTTTAAAGAGAATTCATAATTGCTTGATGAAACATTTTGATGATGGCTACTTAAATTTCTTGTCAGGTAATTACAATATCTCCTTCATCTCAGTGTTGGTGTCTCTTGACATGATTTCTCACTCATGATTTTCCTGGTTCTTTGTATGATGAGTGACTACTGAGTCCTGAACACTAAGGTATACTGAGACTGTGGATCCTAATCTTTTTTATTTTGAAGCAGGTGGTCTGTAGAGGTATAACATAAATGTCAGGTGGGTATATATGTTCCTCTTCCCTGCTGACACTTCCCTGGAAAACGTGGTGTACTGACATAATAGTGCATCATTGTAGATAGATAAGGTGGAAGTTTAGACCTCTCCTTGGCCCTGCTGACACCTTCCTAATGAAAGTGGGGCACTAACTCACACCACCTAATTTCCTCTGAGTGATGGTAGGAACTCAGCTCCCCACTCTCATTGATGCTACAGGTGGGAGGTGGGGAAGCAGTGCTGACTTGTTCTGCACCATACCTTCTTCAGTCTCATTGCTGTTGGGTAGATGTGGAAGTTCAGCTCCCTCCTTGGCCTTGCTAATATCAGGGGTGCTTACTCAACTTGTACTACCTGTTGTCTTACTGATGCTATGTGTGGATAGAAGCTCAGCTCACTACTGGATCCTGCTGGTGGTATCCTAGCAAGATAATTGGAATATTGCCTGACTCTGGGTAATAGGGGGTTGGGATGGAAGATTAAATTATTTCTCGACCCTACTTCAGTCATGCAGGTTGGGGTGCAATGTTTTTTCTCCCTTAGTGTTGGGATGGAGTCCAGCAAATATTGCCAAAAATCTTTACTATTGTTACATCACCCTTTCCTAGTCTTTAAGTACACTGTCTTCTGTTTATCAGGCAATCTTATCTTGTTCTTTAACATATCACCTTCTGTTTTAGCTTAACACACTGTTTTTCTTTATCCACAATTTCATTGTGCTAATTGTTTTCTTGGGGTCCTCCAAAGTTCAAGGACTTGGCCTACCACAGGATTTAGCTTACAGTTGTACTGACAGCTATGATTAATAACGTAGTAATGACAACAGAAGAATATAAAGCATAATCAGCAAAGGGAAAAGGAGCATGGGAAAAGCCCAGAGGAAACCAGGTACAAGATTCTAAGGGTTCTCTCTTGGTGGAATCACACAGGTTATGTTGAATCCCTCCAGCAATGAATTGTGACCTATGTGAAATGCTGTTGACCAGATGATCATTAGAAATTCAGTGACCAAGGTTTTTACTGGGGGCTGGTCACACAGGTATTCTCTGTCTAACATATATCATAGTTCAAGACTCCCAGAAGAAAAGCATGTGTTCAGTATAAACCATATTGTGTGCACAGTTTAGGTCCAGTGAGCCATTCTTAGTAGAGAATGATGGGAATCTTCCTAAAATGTAAGTTCCCAGATGCCAGCCAGAGGCCAATCTTCAAAAAGGCTTTAATAAGGATAGGAGTCTCAAGCCTGCACAATTCTTTTCTGCATAATTATAAATGCCAATTGTGAATTGTAAAAACCAATCAACTGATGATATCTGTCGTAATATGTTAAAAGTTAAATTACCTTAGGAGTTAACAGTCTTAACTGCAAAGCTATACTTATACCCTAAAATAGTTTAATAGGGACAATATACTAATGGTTCAGTTAAAGAAGAAAAATATGGGAGGAATGGTTGGTTAATACTTGTGGTCTGAAAAAAGAAATATTCCTTAATCTTTTAGGAAGTGATCAAAAAATTGCTAATAGAGAATTATCTACAAAATCTTTCATAGGCCAATCTGGGGGAATTTGGTCTCACATATTTTTCTTGTGTGAGCTCATATAGGGAATAAATTTTCCTTTGTCTTTATGCATACGGTTAAGTGCACAAAGGTCATGCTGAATGAATGAACGAGTATCTCCATCGCTTGACTTACTTTCAGAAATCAACTTCTACAGAAAGCATTGTTTATTTATCCTAAGTTCTAACTGGTCACAATTTTATTTTATATTCTTTTAATATATACATTGGGCCATATTAATTTTCAATGTTCTCTTTACCTCCTATTAAATCATTTCATGGAAAAATCATCTTCTATGATAGAATGTAAGCCAAGACTATACATATAATATGGCTAGAAGGAGCACCCAAATATGATCCTATTTTGGCCAATTAGAACAGAAATTGTGTTATGGGGAGGTCTTAGACTCACCTTTACTGAAGAATGTGCTAACCATAAAGCCAAAGAATATTGAAGCAACGGCATAACATGCAAAAAAGACAAAGATGAAGGTATAGTCACTATAGCGGAAAACTGGCTCTTTGAAGATCTACGATAAAACAATATAACAATGTAATGCACACCATAAATAGTGTCACATAAACACAAAGGAAGAGGAAGAAAATGATGGCCCTAATGAAATAGGTTTCACACTGCTCAGTGACTGAAGCTTAATGAGCTGGAAAGTTAACTAAATAACTTATTTTTTACAAAAAGGTTTATGTTTTCTCTCAGAGATTCAGCAGCCCATGAGTCTCCATGCTGGAGACAATATAAGCCATATTTCCTCTTCCTGGCAACCTGAGACCAGTCAGTCTACACTTGAGAGGGATGACTTTATCTCTCTCAAAGGACGGCTGTAGCAGGCTGCAATCAATAAGAACTGAGATGGTTAATATAGTAGACATGAACCACATGTAGCTACTGAGCACTTAAGAGGTAGTGTAACTGAGGAACTGAATTATCATTTAATTTTAGTTACTTTAAGTAAGAAACAAAAAGAATGACAAGTACATATTAAGTACTTCTAATTATAATACTGCATATGAACTGAGATGTGTTTTAAATATAAAACACACTGCAGTTTGAAGACAGTACAAAAAGAATGTAAAGTATCTTAATTTTCAAATTGGTTGTATGTTGATATGTTTTTTATACACTGAGTTAAATAAATGTATTATTAAAATTTCACCTGTTCTTTTTACTCTTTAAAATTTATAGTGGCTACTAAAAATTTAATATTACATAGTGACTCCTTAAATTTCTATCGGACAGCACAAAATTAGACACTTGCCTTGGCAAAGAATAACACACATATCAAAAAGATAATAATGATATAAAAAAAGAAGACTGTGAAGAAATAGGAAGCCCAGATCATCCAGTTTTTAATTCCAATTATGAGTTGGTACTCCTGCAGGAAAGTCAACACAAATCAAATATTACATATTTGAATAATTCATAGTGATTTCACATATATTTAAATAATTGAATTCCCATAAAAACCTATATAAATAGGTATTATCTCTATTTTGTGAATGAAAAAAAATCAATGCTCAAGTGTGTTAGTCAAAATTATGCAGTTAATAAAGACAGTATTGGCATAATATATTTCTCCTGAGTTCAGAGATCTTTTTTCAATACTACACCTAGTATTGGACAAAAATGGAAAGCATTTCAAATTAAACTTTGAATTATTAAGATATGATTTTTATTATATTCTACTTCCAGGAATATTAGAGAAATGTATCTATGTTTTTTATTTAAAAATCCACTATAAGTTAGAAGTTGGTTGTACTTCTTATGCTTATTCCTTGTAGGCAATGAGGCCTTTTCCCCACATCTGGCTGCTTTCAAGGTTTTCTCTTTGTCTTTGGTTTTCAGGGGATTGAATATAATTTTGTCCAGGTAGGGGTGTGGGGGGGGTGGGGTGGTGTGTGTGTGTGTGTGTGTGTGTGTGTGTGTGTGTGTGTGTTGTAGTCTATCCTACTCCATGTTCTCTGAGCTTCCTCAGTGTGTGGTTTGATACCTACCATTAATTTTGGGAAATTCTCTGCCATTATTACTTTAACTCTGTTCTCTCATCTCTTTTATGGGGGGAATTCCAATTATGTATGTTATACTATTTGATAGAGTCCTACACATTTTGGATGCTTTTTTCTGTAATTTTTACATTTTGTTTTCTCTTTACATTTCAGTTTGTATAATTTCAATTGTCTTTATTCAATTCTTTAATTCTTTCCTCATCAAGGTCAAGTGTACTGATGAATCTGTCAAAGGCATTCTTCATTTCTGTTAGCATGTTTTTTATTTCTAGCAATTTCCCTTAACTCCTTCTTATAGTTGTGCTCTCTCTGATAGCATTACCTATCTGATCTTGCATGTTATCTACTGTGCAGAAAAGAGCTAACAAAGAAGGCTTGAGACTATTAGAATATTGTGTTTGCAAGGTAAATTTTTCCAGGCTTTGCCTGTATCATTTCCTCTTATGATCCAGCTATGAATTTTTACTATTTCACTATAATAAATTCTTGATGTGAGTATAATTATATGCTGAGTCCCACGAGTTCTGCTGAATTTCAGAAAATGGGGGTGGTCGTGAGGATCCTGGACACATATACCTTTCCCTTTAGAGTCTTTAAGTTACTAACCATAATAATTTTAAATTCCTTGTCTGATATTTCTAACATCTCTGTCTTATCTGAGTCTGGTTCAGATGACTGATTGACTCTTTAGATTGTGCTTTTTCTTAATTTTTGATATTTCTTACAATTTTTTGTTGAAATCCGGACCTGTTAGCTAGGGCAGAAGATATCAAGGTAAACAGGCCTAAAGTGTGGGAATTTATGTTAATTTAGTCAGGAATTGAGTTGTGTTTGAAGATCCCTGTTAGTAGAGACTACAAATTCCTCCAGTGACTTTTCTGTCTCCCTCTTTGCCTTCAGGTTTTTCCTTTCTGTGGCTCCCCAGAGACAGTTCATCTCTGAAATTCTGCCAGCTTGGAAAATTGGAATGTTGCATCACTTTCTGTTCTAAATTTGCTGCTACTGGGATGTAATTTGCTGCTACATGGTATAACATCTACCTACCAGTAATGAATATGTAGGAATAATCTAACTCTCCATTCAGAAGAGCTCCATAGGCATAAAAAAATATTTACAGAAACTTTATCAGAAAATAATTGGGATTACCTTCAATCCTTCTTCCTTTTCTGACACAAGGTATCGAATGATGGAAAGTACAGTTGGAGAGAACATGAGTATGAATATCAAAGGGAGGAAATTACTAATGATCTCAATTAATCTATCCGAAGAATAAGCTGGATATGGATATCTCTGTATAGAAACGCTAATGCCATCAAACAACTTCTGTGCAGTACTGTTCTCGTGGTGCAGCATGATGGCCTTATCTAAGGCATGCTGCACAGCCAGGAACCCTTCTTTGATGTACCCTGTATGACAAAACAAATACTGGCAAGTCAAACAAATTAAGGAACAGCTCAGACACACAAAGAACAAGGCAATTCAAGTAAGTCATAGTGTGTCAACAACAGAATATAAGTTTACCATTGTATCAAGGCTGACTGAAGACAATTACTCTGAGAACATATCACAGTTTTGAAACCAACGCAATACTTCTTCAGCTGAATCTGATTTATATCTTCCGAAAATTAAGTATATTTAACGAAAGTGGTAGGTTTGCTAAATGCAATTTATCTTTGCTAAAAGAAATGCAGATTTAATTAAACATTGGTGAGCCTGCCCAGTGTGGCTCAGCAGTTGAGTGTCAACCTATGAACCAGGAGATCATGGATCGATCCCCAGTCAGGGCCCGTGCCCGGGTTATGGGCTCGATCCCTAGTAGGGGGCATACAGGAGGAAGCCTATCAATGACTCTCTCATCATTGATGCTTCTCTTTCTTTCTCCCTCTCCCTTCCTCTCTGAAATCAATAAAAACATATTGGTTAAATGAAGACTTGGAAATGTAATAAAAGAAATAACGCTCAGAATGACAGGTATATTCTAGTGAGTAATGCAGAATGGCCCCATTGAAAATTATTTCACTGAAACCAAGTCAGCCATACAATTAAAAGGCAGCTTAGAGTTTAATTTGATTTCTTCTACTAATTTTTAAGGTTGGAATTCAGGTAACTAATCTTAGACCTTTCTGTTTTTATTATATGAACAATTAAAGTGGTAAAGTTCTAAGCATTGTATCTCCCAAGTTTTTCTCCCAAATCTGAACATGTCATGTTTTGTTCATTATTCAATTTAAAATATCTTCTAACGTCTTGGTGACTTCTTTGACCCATGGATTATTTAGACATTCGCTGTTTAATGTCCTAACATTTGGAATTTTTCTAACTGCAGTTAAATCTTGAACAACATGGTTTGAAATGTATAGGTCCACTGACAGTGGACTTGTTTTTCAATAAATAACTGTACTTTTTAATCTGCAAAAGCAGAGGGCTGACTGTATGCATTGATCTACGACATTTTTATAGGGGACTTTAGCATCTGTGGATTTGGGTATCCACAGGGAGTCCTGGAACCAACTGCCAGTGGAGACCAAAGGAAAACTAAGTTTTGGGGGAGTCAAAATTTATACACAGATTTTTGGAAAGGATGAGCACCCTCACACAGGTGCTGCAGCTGAGAAGCCAGATGGATATTGTGGCTGCAAAACTCCTTCCTCCTAGGAGTGTGGTGTCTCAACTCTACACAGGAATCACCAGCCCACAGTAACAGAGATGGGAAGAGGAGCCCATGTAGCATCACGCTGTGGGAATCTCTGTGGGGATTCTGTCCACCCAGGGGCCTTGGACCACCATCCCAAGGAAGGGGTGCTCCTATTATTACAGCACCAGCCTGGAGAATTTACTCTAGTCTCTACCAGCTGAAGAGGTCACACTGCTGTAGTCAGTTCCTGAGGAGGAGTCTGCTCGCTACACCCAGCAATGACTCTGAGGGGCCCTCTATTCTCTGGAAAGGCTTTGGGCAGAGAACCAGTCAGTGACTAAACTGCGTGGCTTAGGAAACAGGATCAGACTCACTCACCTCAAATGCATGGTTGGCACCCCTCCCCCATCTGTTGAACTGCTCGGTCTGCCTCATCCTGCTGGATTCAGGACCACAGAGGAACAGCACAGGTCTGGGATTTTTGGCCTGTTCAACTTGGTTTGATGGCATGGGGCGGGGGGTGGGGGCAGGAGATTCACACAGAGCTGGGTTTTTTGGACTATGTGTCCCAGGGAGGCTTCAGTCTCAGAGTTGGAAGGGTGAGTACAGGGCTCTGCAGCTGCATTGTGGGGAAGCAGACTGGAGCTCCCCTGGGAGTTCAGCGTGCACAGTCTCTGGAAGGAGAGGAAGAGTCTGCCCCCCTCCTACAGATTGCAGGTACCACCCCCAATGGAAAACTGACTGAATCAGCCCTGCCAAGTACTGGACACTACTGCTGGGCGCAGTTCCATGGGGGAGGACAGTGAGGCTCAAGCGGGGACATTCAAAGTGTGAGAACCTGAGGCTATTGTCTGGTACCAGGTGGAGGTGCTTAGCCCCCTCCCCAAGGCTGGACTGGCATTATCCTCAGCTGGAGATTCTTTTGATCTATCCCCCTTAGCCTAGGGCAGCTGAACTTGCTCACTTAGAGGAGATGTCTCTCTGTCCCAATCTGAACCTGAAGTGAGCCCTGCTAGGCGGAACTGGAGTTGAAGACTAGCAGAAACTGAGAAGTTTGGCTTTGAAGCAGGGACTAATTTCTCATTGACTGCCTGGACTGTGTGATCCCCAAGTAGGGGGCCTATCTTAGGTAGCCTGGGCTCATCCTACAGTCTCTCTTTGGAAAGCTCTGGAATAAGACCAGGTAACCTCAGGGGAAGGCAGAGTAGCTGACAGGTGGAGGTGGACCTCAGGGAGCCTCGGTTTTATCACAGATCTGCCTCCAGCTCTAAGCTGGAAGAAGAGGACCCTTTCACACAGAATGGCCCCCCCTATGTTCACGCAGGTCTAATAGATGCAGATACAAAAAGTGAACAATATGGTAGCTACAGACAGGTAGTCCAAGGCCAGTTACATACAATGTCTGCCAGCAACCTGTACCTACGACCCACACCAGTAGACCCAGAAACAACACAACCAGTGGTGGGCTTCAGACCACACCAGAGCTCAACTCAACTAGCAACAGAAACAGCACACCCAAATGGAAATCCTGGCAGACACCAGACTCTGCTGGGAACAACCCAGCCTCAGGGACAGATGCTACACAGCATCTCACACAAGGTGATAGAGATTTATACCTATAGTCACCCAGCCTGAAATGTTAACTGCACCACCCATATAAGGGCCAACAGCAATCAAGCCTCAACTACAACATGGGGTGAGCATAACCCACAAGAGGCATTCCTGGAGCATGGAGCTCAGGTGATCTGGAAGATCACTAGGCCTAATAAGACACTTGAAGAGTGCCCCAGCAGAGCAGCTTACATGCTGTGCTCAGGGTTGAGTCTCACAGTTGGCCAGCTTGAGGGTCTATCCCACAAATGAAAGGGCCAACAGAAACCAAAACCCAATTACAACAGGAGGATTTTCATAATCCACAAAAGGGACATTCCTAGAGCACCCAGCTCAAGAGATCAAAGAAACTACACCACTGGGTCCCACAGGACACCTACTACATATGACCACCCAATAAAGACTGGGAGTCAAAGCAGTTTTATCTAATACATAAAAACAAACACAAAGAGACAGCCAAAATGGACAAACAAATAAACAAACAAAGAACAACAGGCTCCAAATGAAAGAATAAGAGGAATGTCCAGAGAAAGAGCTAAATGAAATGGAGGCAAAGAAGTTATCAGATATAGAGTTCAAAGTAACGGTTAGAAGAATGCTCAAAATTTAGTGAGAGCTACAACAGCATTAAAAAGGATACAGAAACCATGAAAAAGAACCACTTGGAAATGAAGAATGACAACAAGAGAACACTGGAAGGAATAAAAAGCAGGTGAGATGAAGCAGAAGGTTGAATTAGTGATTAGGAAGACTAGGTAGAAAAAAACACACAATCACAGCAGTAAAAAGAAAAAATAATTAAATGGTATGAGGGTAGTTTAAGGGAACTTTGGGTTACCAGAAGAAGAAGAAAGTGGGAAAGGGATAGAGAACCTGTTTGAAGAAATAATAACAGAAAACTTCCCTAATCTCGTGAAGGAAAAAGTCACACAAGATCAGGAAGCATAGAGAGTCCAATCAAGATGAACCCAAGGAGAACCACACCAAGATATATCATAATTATAATGGCAAAGGTTAAAGACAAAGAGAGAATATTAAAGGTAGGAAGAGAAAAACAGTTCCTTACAAAGGAGCTCCCATAAGGCTGTCAGCTGATTTCTCAACAGAAACACTTCAGGCCAGAATGGATTGGCATAAAGTTTTCAAAGTAATGAAAAGCAAGGATCTGAATCCAAGACTACTCTATCCAGCAAGGCTATCATTTAAAATTGAAGGTGATACAAAGAGCTTCCCAGACCAAAAAAGGCTGAAGAGTTCATTACCACCTAACCAACATTATGTAAAATATTAAAGGGTCTGCTCTAGAAACAAGAAAAAAATAGAGAGAGAAACATACATATAAAGGACAAAATGGCAATAAAGAAGTACCTATCAATAATAATCTCAAATGTAAATGGATTAAACACTCCAATCAAAAGATATAGGGTAGCTGAATGGATAAGAAAATATGACCCACATATATGCTGTCTGCATGAGACGCCCCTCAGAACAAAAGATACACACAGGATGAAATTGAAAGGATGGAAAGAAATATTCCATGCAAATGACAATGAAAAAAAAAACCTGGGGTAGGAATACTTATATCTGACAAAATAGATTTTAAAACGAAGGCCATAACAAGAGAACAAGGTCACTACATAATACTAAAGGGATTGATCCAACAAGAGGATATATGTACCCAATATAGGAGCATCTAAATATATACAAAAAAACCTCTTCATGGACTTTAAGGGAAAGGTCAAAGCAATACAGTTATAGTAGGGGACTTCAACACCCCACTGTCATCACTGGATAGATCTTCTAAACAAAAAAAATCAACAAGAAAACAGTGACCTTAGAAGACACACTGGATCAGATGGATTTAATTGGTATTTACAGAACATTTCAGCCCAAAGCCACAGAATATACATTCTTCTCAAGTGCACATAAAACATTCTTAAAGACTGACCACATGTTAAGACACAAAATAAGTCTTAACAAATTCAGGAAGATCAAAATCATATCAAGCATCTTCTCACATCACAATGCCATGAAACTAGAAATAAACTAAAATAAAAACACTCAAACACATCTAAATAGCACATTATTAAACAATGAATAACAGGTTAACAATGACATTAAGAAAGAAATAAAAAACTTCCTGGAAACAAATGAAAACGAACACACAACAACCCCAAATCTATGGGACACAGTGAAAGCAGTCCTAAGAGGGAAGTTCATAGCATTACAGGCCTACCTCAAGAAACAACAGCAAAAATAATAAAGATAAGAGCAGAAATAAATGACATAGAGACTAAAAAAACAATACAAAAGGAACAATGAAACCAAGAGCTGGTTCTTAGAAAAGATAAACAAAATAGATGAACCTTTAACCAGACTAATCAAGAAAAAAAGAGAAAGGATCAAAATTAATAAAATCAGAAATGAAGGAAGGGAGTAGTAACAATTGACTCCAGAGAAATACAAAGGACTGTAAGAAAATACTATGAACAACTACATTCCAACAAAATGGACAACCTGGGCAAATAAACATATTCCTAGAAACATACAATCCTCCAAAACTGAATCAGTAAGAAGCAGAAAACCTGAATAGACCAATAACAACTAATGAAATTGAAGCAACAATAATAATAATAATAATAATAAAAACTCCCAGCAAACAAAAGTCCTGGACTGGATGGATTTACAGTCAAATTTTACCAAACATTCAAAGACATAACACCAATCCTTCTCAAACTATTCCAAAAATTCAAGAGTTGGGTAGACTTTCAAGCTCTTTATATGAGGCCAGCAGTATTCTAATTCTCAAACCAGATAGACACTACGAGAAAAAAATATATAGGCCAATATCCCTGATGAACATAGATGCTAAAATCCTCAACAAAATATTAGCAAATTGGATACAGCAATACATTAAAAATGTCATACACCACGATCAAGTGGATTTACCCTGGGGATGTAAGGTTCATACCATATTCGCAAATCAATAAATGTGATACATCACATAAACAAAATGAAAGATAAAAATCAAATGATCATATCAATGGATGTAGAAGAAGCATTAGATAAAATCCAGTGCCCATTTATGATAAAAATTCTCAGCAAAGTGGGAACAGAGGGACAATACATCAACATAATAAAGGCCATGTATGAAAAACATACAGCTAACATCATACTCAATGGGCAAAAACCAAGTGTTTCCCTTAAGATCAGGGACAAGACAGAAATGTCCCCTTTCACCACTCTTAATCAACACAGTACTAGAAGTTCATACAATATCTGCCAGGAACCTGTACTAGAAGTTCTAGCCATAGTGATGGGAAGAGGAGCCCATGTAGCATCAGGTGGTGGGAATCAGTGGGGATTCTGTCCACCCTAATAGGTTCATCTGTTCTCTTACTGGTTATGCTGTTTCCAATTTTTGTTACTAATGCTACAATGTACACAGTTTTTCTTCTATTTAATATTTGCTAAAAAGAAAATCTCGATATTCAGTGAGTACAAATTCCTTATTAAGGGTTTTTCACATATGATAATATGCCAAGTAAAAACTTGAATTAAAAATTAGTATCACAGTGTAAAAACTTTTAGATCAAATCAGTAAAATTATATACAGACATAAATAGGCAAGCAATGCCAACAAATGAAAATGTGTGTATTTGGAAAGCATAATACTAAACCACAATTACAGAAAAATAGATATATTGCTGTAAGAATTGAAAGAGGGTATATATATATTATATATATTGTTTAAGTTTGTCAAATATATGGGATTGAAAAGTTGCTTTGGTAGAATGTAAATCTAATTTTAAAAACTGCCACAGCAAGAATAAACAGTTTATATATATGATTGTATATGTATATATGTATATATACAAATAAAACCATAAATATATGTATATGTTAGTGTGCAACTGTGATAATAAAATAAGTATGCTTAAAGATCTACTCACCAGGACTTCCTCCGTCATGGTCATCTGAGTTCCTGGGCCCTGAAGAGGGAAGAATTGGAAAGAGCATGGATGTTTCCCAGCCTGACAGGTGTGGCCACCGGAGAGTCCTTTGTACAGTAGCAAAACGCAGATGATATTTTACCTAGAAATAGCAACAGGAAACAAACTATGCTTAAAAATGAACAAACTGAAAAGCATATATTAGAAATAAAGGGAAGTTAAAAAACATAAGGAAAACCATATGATTTGAAAGAGGAGACTCATCTGATGTCAAAGTGATTCTGAATGCCTGGAAATGACAGTGACTCGAAGCATAATATATATGCTCCAATCATATCTACATTTGAAGTCCTCTCAAAATGCAAACAGTTCACAAAAACAAGATATCCATATGGTCCATAAATTCATGAAAAGTTTCTCAATGTCACACATGAAATAAATGCAAATTAACACCACAGATATTTTTCTTACCTATCGCGCTGGAAAGATCAAAAAGCTTAACAACACACTCTATTAGCAAGGCTGTAGACAAACAGGCACTTGAATTCATTGCTTGTAGGATGCAAAATGGCACAACTGTAATCGAGAGTCTGGCATGTGTAACAAAGCTACATATGCATTTACTGTTTGATTCAGCAATCCTACTTTTAGGAACAGACTAGAAATTTATCTCTCCAATGATACGAAGAAAGGGTATGTATAAGTTTGTTGTAACATTATTTGTGGTAGAAATGTACTGAAATTAATTTCTCATACATAGGAGATTACATAACTATGGTACCTGCACACAATAGAGAGCTATGTATCTCAAGGTATAGTTAGAAAATAGACATCATAATAGAGAGAAAGGGTAGGAAAATTCTAAGGTTATCAGGTAGCAACGCAGAAAGCAGCCACTAGCCTTAGGACTAAGGGAAGAAAAGCAAGAGTTTGGAATTACTAAAAATTATAAAAAAGGAGAGACCCTGTGGGGCTGAAAACCCACCTTCTGAGGAGAGTACACAAGTGAGCTAGTGCTCTGGCTCAGAGCTTGAGAGAAGGGCCCTTTAGGACTTCTGAGAAGGAGCTCCAGTTGCCTAGTGCTGGTTATCTTGGAGAGGGTGTAATGAGGCTGATTTTGAAAACTTCTGGACATTGTGCAAACTGTATTTGGCTGTTCCCATGGGAAGAAAGTATTACTGCCAGAAAAAAAAGTGTTGCTGGGATGTCACTCACAGGAACTGCAAGCAGACAAAAGCCAGCAGGAAAGATCAAGTCCCGTCTCCCAGTCTTGTGCTTTAACAGCAGTCTCATACAGAGCTGGCTGGAAAACAGAAATGCAGCTACGGCATCAAAGAGCAGAGTAAAGAATGGATTTATGGTTCAAAAAGAGACTTACTGACAAGTATGCTACCTGTACCTAAAAAGAAAAGTGAGGTATATATGTGTAATTTATACTATATAATACATATTAATTTAAATGTATATATCTCCATACATTATATATAATACCAATGTGATTTATACTTAATAATCTTCGGATGCATTGCAAAAGTAGTTGGAAATATCAGTACACTTCCACCCAAATACTTCAGCACTTACAGGAATTCAATACTTGTTTATAGTTCTTATTTGAGGTAAAATTTTACATACAATAAAGTGCACAAATCTTAACTGTAATCCACTTAACTGTACCTGAGTTTTGACAAATGCATAGTTTTTGCAATCCAAACCACTTATAAGATAAAAAATACCTTCATACCAGAAAGTTCTCTCCTGCCCTTTTCCAGTGGATCCCGACTACACTCCCTCAGAGATATAATTTTCTGATTTCATCATAGATTAATACTGCCTGTTATAGAATTTCATATAAATGAAAACTCACAAGTATTGTACTTTTTCATAGGCTTCTTTTATTCAGAAAGATACTTCTAAGATTCATTAATGTAACTGCTTTTTTCAGTACTTAATTCCTTTTTGTCACTGAGCAATATTCCACAGTGTAAATATAACAGAGCTCATTAATTTTCTGGTTGATGTATACCTGACTGTTTCCAATATTGGGCTATTATGAATAAAGCTGTTATGAACATTCTTGCACAACTCCTTTTGTGAAAATATGTTATCCTTGTTTATGGTAAATTCATAGTACAACTGATGGATCATATAGCATAGATGTGTGTTTAGTTTTATTTAAACAAATAAATGGCAGACATTTTTCTAACCTGATCATACCATTTTATAGTCTCACTGACAGTGGCTTCACATCCTTACTATTTGGTATTGTCAGATTAATTTTTGTCTTTCTGGTGGAGGGTAGAGGTTATCTCATTGTGGCTTAAATTTGCATTTTCCTGATGTATAATGACATTGCATACTTTTTCATGTCCTAATTGGCCATTCATATATCTGCTTTGATGAACTACTTAAATCTTTTGTTAATCTCTGAAATAGGGCTGCTTGTCATTTTATTATTGAGTTTAGGACTTTTAAAAATATCTTGGACATTAATACATTGTCACATATATGTAAATAAATTCTCCAACACTATGCCTTGATAATTCATTTTATTAATCTATTTTAAAGTACTTTGAAATAATTTAAGTATTTCTTAAGACAACTGTAAATTTACATGTAGTTGTAAGAAATAATAAACAGATTGTGTATAATCTTTACTTTCTCCCAATGATAACATTTCACAGAACTATAATATAATAGCACATCCAGGGTACTGACATTAATACAAATCACTAATCTTACTCAGAGTTCCCTAATTTTACTTGTACTCACATGTCATATGTATTAAGTTCTATACATCTTTATCACGTGCGGAAGTTCAAGTACCAACATCACAGTCAAGATACCAAACAGTTCCATGACCCCTTTTTTCTAATAGCTATTCCCTGACAACCAAGAATATGTTCTCCATTTCTAAAATTTTGCAGTAAATAATGTGTTATATATATGGAATCACAGTATTAATACTTTGGGATTGTTTTTTTCCACTCAGCATAATTCTATGGGGATTTAGCTAAATAACTGTATATGCTTCTTTTGTTTAATTTATGATAACATACACACAACAAAATTTACCATCTTAACCATTTTTAAGTGTACACTCCAGTGGTTTTAAATATATTCTCATTGATATGCAATCATCTCCACCATTCATCTCTATACTTTTTTATCTTGTAAAACTGAAACTCTATACCTATTATACAATAATCACCCATTCTCCCCCCCACCCCCAGCCCCAGCTCCTGGAAACCATTATGTTTCCTGTCTCTATGACTTTGACTACTTTAAATGCCTCACATAAGTAGAATCATGCAGATTTGTCCTTTCATGACTTATTTCAGTCTCAAGATTTATATATGTTGTAGTGTGTATCAGAATTTCCTTCCTTTTAAGGCTGAATAATATTCCATTGTGCCTGGCTGGTGTGGCTTGGGGGTTGAGCGTCGACCCATGAACCAAGAGGTCACCTGCTTGATTCTTGATCAGGGCACATGCCCGTGTTTCAGGCTTGACGCCCAGTAGGGGCCATGCAGGAGGCAGCCTATTGATGTTTCTCTCTCATCGATATTTCTATCTCTCTATCCCTCTCTCTCTAAAATCAATAAAAAGGTATTAAAAATATATTCCATTGTATGTATAGACCACATTTTACTTATCTATTCATCCATCAATGGACACTTGAGTGGCTTCCACACTGTAGCTATTATGAATAATGCTATGAACACTGCTGTACAAATATGTCTCTTTGACACCTACCTTCAATTCTTTTCAGTATATACCAAGAAGAGGAATTGTTGAGTCATATAATAATTATACTTTTAATTTTTTAAGACCCTACACTATGTTTCCACAGCTGCTGTACAATTTTTCCACCAACAGTGCATGAAGGTTCCAATTTTCCCACATCCTCACCAACACTTATTTTCCATTTTTTGATGGTAGCAATCCTAATGGATGCGAGGTAACACCTCACCGTAGTTCTGTGTGCATTTCCCTCATGATTATAACCTCTTTAAAGAAATGTGTATTGATGCCCCTTGTCTATGTTTGAATTGGTTTTCTCTTTCTTTTCTTTCTCCCCTCCCCTCCCCTAATCTCTCATCAGATATATAACTACCAAGTATTTTCTCTCATCTCTGTGTTGCTTTTTAGTCCATGGATGGTGATTTTTATTTTTATTTCTTTAAAGTTCCTTCTTTTTTAAGATTACATTTACTGGGGTGACACTGTTTAATAAAATTATATAGGTTTCAAGGGTACAATTCTATCATACATCAACTGTATATTGCACTGTGTGCCCACCACCCAAAGTCAAATCCTCCATCACCATATATTTGACTCTCTTACCCTTAACTACTGCCCTCCCCCCTTCCATCCAGTAACCACCATACTGTTGTCTGAGTCTGTGTTTTTGTTTATTTTTCTTGTTTGTTCATGTTTTCAGTTTTATATCTCACATATGAGTAAAATCGTATGGTTCTAGGCTTTTCCTTATTTTGCTTAGCGTGAAATTCTAAGTTCCATCAATATTGTTGTGCATGGCAGTATTTCACCTTTTTTATGGCTGAGTAGTGTTCCATTGTATATATGTACCACTCTTCTTCATTGAATCATCTATCAAAGGACATTTTGGTTGACTCCAGGATTTGGCCACCGTAAATCATGCTGAAATAAACATAGGGGTGCATATATCTTTGTGAATACATGTTTTTGAGTTTTTCAGGTATATATCCAGGAGAGGGATTCTTAAATTTTTGAGGAGCTGCCAGACTGCTTTCCACAGTGATTGTAACCAGTCTACATTCCCACCAGCAGTTAACGAGGGTTCTCTTTTCTCCACAGCCTCTCCAATACTTGTTACTGCCTGTCTTGTTGATCACAGCCACTCTAACAGGTGTGAGGTGGTGTCTCATTGTAGTTTTGATCTTCATTTCCCTAATTGCTAGTGAGGTTGAACATCTTTTCATGTATCTACTGGCTGCTTGTATGTCTTCTTGGGAAAGGTGTCTGCTCAGGTCCTCTGCCCACTTCTTGACTGGGTTGGTTGTTTGGTGTTCAGTTTTATGAGTTCTTTATATATTTTGGAAATTAAACCTTTGTCAAAGCTACAGTTTGCAAATTTCATCTCCCATCTGGTTGGCTGCC